AATTACCAAGGTAGAGAAAGAAAGAAAGGAAAGGATTTGCTGACCACTTCAAGAAGCTCTCGAATCGACCACCACCTGCACTTCGTCCAGAAATACCACCTGCATCCCAGACACAGAATTACCAGTGAACACAAGCCCTCCAACAAAAGCAGAAGTGAAGTCTTGAACGCCATGAAGTTGTTGGAATCTCGGAAGCAGCAGGACCAGATGGAATTCTACCAGAAGCACTGAAGACAGATGCAGAGACAACAGCGGACATCCTCACACAACTACTGCAGAAGGTTTGGAAGGAAGGAAAGGTACCTACATGTTGATTGGAAGAGGGGCTAACTTGTCGAACTCCCAAACAACGGAGACCTAAGTAGTTGCAAGAACTGGCATGGAATCACGCTCCACCCCAAGTAAAATATTAGGCCGTCTCGTCGTGGAGAGATTGAAAGGTGTTCTGGATTCAAAATTACGACCGGAACAGGCTGGCTTCAGCAAGAACAAATCATGTGAGCATCAAATTGCAACGCTACACTACGCATCATCATGGAAGAGAGTACAAAATAGCAGTTAACTCTCTACCTCAACCTCATCGATTTTGAAAAGGCCTTCGACTGCATCGATCGAAAAGTAATTTGGTATGCAGCTGCTTCAATACCACGCTTTCAGTCCCACAAACCTTTATCAACCTCATTCAACAGCTACATACTTTGCTATATGAGGATGCTATACGCCAAGTAATTCACAATGGAAAGCTCAGTGATACCTTTGAAGTGAAGACAGGGAATAGGAGTAAGACAAGGTTGCCTACTGTCATCGATGATCTCCCTGATTGTGGTCGGCTGGAATGGACTGGACTGGACTGGCCGGGACTGGATCATGCAACAGACATCTGTGAGGAGCTGTGATGAGAGGGGCATACACCTGCTGGAACGATGAAAAGACCCCAGAAGAAGATTTGCATTTCGTCAACGATGATGATTTATGTCTAATGTTTTATGTCGCACAAACTCGAAGATCTACAGGCGAAAGCCAACAAGTCGACAGAAGAGGCGAGGCAGCTAGGGAGGACGAGATTTCCTTCAGGTGAACGTAGAGAAGACAGAGGTGATCAAGATACCCAATTACCACCACCACCAACAACAACAATAACAACAAGCACCGATCACCATGAACGGGAGAAATGTAAAGGAAGTTGTCTCGTTCACCTACCCATCTACCTTGGCAGCAACGTTTCAACTACAGGTGGTGTCGGTGGCGGTGGCAGCATAGATGAGGATATCAAAGCTGCCAGGATCGGAAAGACAGCAAGACAGACCTTGATTAACCTGAAATCAGTGTGGAGATCGACTGCACTGCACTGCACTGCACTTCACTTCACTTCACTTAACATAAAGCGTGAACAACATCCGGATTCGCAACACCAATGTCAAGTCAGTACTTCCAGTGATGGTTGAGAGACTTAGTGCGTTAAAGGAAAGCGTTTCCAACAAACTACAGACATTCATCAACAGCTGACGCCTATGCTGGATGCTGAAGATCAGATGGATGACCAGAATAATGGGAATAAGCAACAAGGAACTCACTCTGGTATGGCAACGAACCAACCAAGAATTCATCGCGCAAGAAATATTCAGAAGAAAGTGGATATAGTTTGGTTTGGACATACACTGAGAAGACCATTCAGAGACATCACGCGCCAGGCCTTCGAGTGGAGTTTAAAGGGGAAACGACGAGTTGGGCGTCCGAGTTGAGAGTGACATTTATGAGACTGTGTGAGGAAGAAATGGAAGCTTGTGGGCAGTTGTGGAGGCAGGTTGAAAAGACTGCAGAGAAGAGAGTGGAATAGTGACTCGCTGCTGAACCCCTATGTACCACCAGGAACCTGAGTGTTAAATAAGTATAATAATTGGCCTAGAAACGGTCAAAGCGATTGTTATATATATATATATAGATGTAGGCCTTGTATTTTTGATATATTGTTCGACGTTGATTTTGGCATTATAAACGCACTTTCTGTTCCATTGCAGGCTTTTCTATTTACGGAGAATCTGAGTCACCGCTAAGGGTAGAATCTGAAGGTAATCCTACATGTGTCCACAGTTACATAACTCAGGCTGTATCAAGTCTTTTTGAAGACATAGAATTGGGTACTGAAATTATGAAAATAATCAAGCCAGTTACCAATACAGTTTAAATTCCATAAGAGGTATGTACGTCATACATTTATGACAGGAACTTTGACCTAAAGAAAGTACTACAGTTTTCCAATAAATGTCACTTCTCACTGGAAACGGAATCACACTTAGAGATATCTTATCTTGATGTATTGTTGACAAGAGGAGATGATGAGATACCTGAAAGATTCATTTATTGAAAATCTAAATGAAATAGACAAATGACAAACTTTCGTATCTTGGTTCTCATCAACCGAAAAAGATATTGATTCATCCACTTATATCTCGAATCCGCAAGATTTGCTATCTGGGTACTTAGAAGAAATTCAACTTCTATGATCGACTTTCATCAGGAATAGGTACCATATAGATTTACAGAGAAATTCTGCAACGGAATGTTACTCATTAATCAATCATCTAATAATAAGGAGAATTTAGCTTCTTTTGAATTCAATGGAGGTGCAGCAGATGGGTTGGTAAAACGCAAACTAATGAAAATTCTTTGTAGACACTTTTTAAATCACCTACACTGGTCGCTCATTGGTGAACATGTACTAAGAGAAGACTGTCATTGTTAGCCTTTTTCAGGTGCATATTTCAATTCATTTGTGCCTGTGGTAATAGTTACATGGGATGAGAAATTAGGCAAGTCCGTCAGCGAGTTCCTGAGCATCATCCATAATCGTTGAGCGAAGGATAAATAAAAACAGTGCATATCTGTGCAGTAGGCAATGAGCCACATCTATTGAGTGAGGGCTTGTGGTACTATTTCGCTTTCCAAAGCTCAGTAGGTGAAGTGGAGCACAAACCCGTGACCCAGTGGTCAATAGTCATCTCCCTAAACCACAGAGCTGCAGTTTCATACTGGTCATCAATAAGATACAAGGATGTATTCATGTTGTAAACTTATAACTGTTGTGGCTGAAATAAAAAGAAATGTTAGCGAAGGTGTTATGCTTACTGACTGCTTTAAGTGCATATTTTAGTTTTACCGCATGACCCAGATAATAGCACAAAATGAAATATAAATGCTTCATGATCCTTTTAGACTTATGTTTATCGATATTTGTTCAGTATGTCGACCTTTGATGTGCACCCAAATTAATAACTACCACTTGGCGACATGCGACGGATGATTGTACAGTTCTACTTACATTGCTCCAAAAGATTCTAATCTCGTTGCGTGGAATATATTGCTGAACACAGTATTCGACCTTTGAATAACCTTATTCGCTATCTGCTCAAATTAATTCTGTCTAGCTTCTGTACAAGATGTCTTGGGTAGCCAGTTAAAAGAAACCACTTTCTGATGGATGAATGCTCTTCTTCAGGTTTATCTGCCTATGAAGAATTTTATGACCTGCACTGTGCAGTGATTTACGTAAATCCCGCTGACATACCTCATTAGAAAAAAATCTAAATTTATATTGTCCTTGTTTAGGTATCGACTTTCAATCTGAAACCATTCTATACTATAAGATATTTACCACGAATAGTCAAGGATCAGTGTATTCAATAATATTCATCGAATTACACAATCTAGATTGTAATATACGACTATCGTACGACTGGTTGACTGCTACTTTTAAAGTATACGAGTTCTCAGATAATGTCTGTTAAAAAAATCCAAACTTATAACCCACAAGTATCAAATATATTTGTGAAGCAACTACTATGCACAATTTATCCTAGTGAATTGTACCGCCATTCTTCCTTAATCTGAATAGCCCATCATGCAAGTTGCTATTGAATTCGCCAGCTTTCCTGAAACATTTCGGAAGCCATAGATCATCTGTAGCTACATAAAGGAACTGTGAGTTGGTTGCATAAAATACAATACGGTTTCAACTCAAATATTTCACTTTCCTTCACGTTTAAGCCTTAGGTGTACAATAAAAATTGGAGTAACCGTAAGCATAATTTAGAGTTCAGTGAACGCAAATAGTTACGTCATGTTTCATATAAATCATAAACCATATAAATCATAATATGGAAGTCTGTATACTCAACTCTTAGTATCATTGAAGTCATGGAGATGAATCTAACTTTAATCTGGGCAAACATATAAACAAGATGATAGATCAAAATAGCAGCTTGCATAAAAGTACAACGGATTATTTTGCCAGAATTTCTAATAGCACAGAACAGAAGTAAACAACCGTTAAAAGAACATTAAAGTGAAAAGAAGGAGAATATAAAAGAAAAAGAAACCAAATAAATGAAGAGTAATGGAGTATTCATAATCTACACATCTGATCCTATATGAACCACAGTGCTATAGGCAAACAAATACTGCATCAAAATCCTCCATACAGTCAGTATAGCTCACACTTTAGGGTATATATCAGTACGTGATTTGATTACCAAGTTGTATCCATGTTAGAATGAAGAGAGAGGTAATGATTGGTCTATATTTCCCATATTAAATGAGGACTAAATATTCATCCTTAACCTTATGTTATTGACGTTCCTGTTAGCTTGCTTATTGATTAGTATCTAAGATGATCATTTTTCTATATTAAACTCGATAGTTATGCGTCCAGCGAAATAAACAACTATATTTTCAGCTAGTGTTTGCCTTTTTTTCACAGCAATAAATTTTCCCTTCCTTTCTATGTCTTTCAGTAGTGTGGGGATAGTATTTTCAGTAACCAGTATCCATTGTCATGTGTCACAGTGTTGTGGGTGTAAAACGACAGTTCCTGATTCCTAGAGCATCAGAGTTAAGAGAAACCTTAAAATCCAATATTATTCAGTCATATAATTAATCTCCCAACTCATTTATATTAAACTTTCAAATAATTTAAACACCAATAGTAAAACAATATGAATTACCTTAGGTAAAGTTACCAATACAAAACTTGGTAAAATAGTATACGTATTATTGTCAGCAGCGATATTCATCTTTTCTTGTAAGTGAACATAGACTAATGTGATAAGAATGACACCAACAAGTGAAAGTAGAACAACAGGACAAGTGATGAAGCATAGAATTAGCAAACGTTTCCATTTAGGATAAATGCGAACTGGTCTTCCAGTAATTGGACACAGAGATAGTGTACCCTATAAATTAGAAAGAAATATTAATTTTTAAAGAATAAAACTAAGTTATAGTATTTATACTGGGTGATGATTGAAGTTGAAATGGGAATTTGAACAGAAGCTGGATTCGAACCAGAGATCACCGGGTTTCTGGACCGATGCTCTACCAACTGAGCTACGAGGCAGCTGGTTTGAATCCGGCCACGGTCCGAATTTCCATTTCACCTTCAATCAGCACCCAGAATAAATACTAATCTGCTAAACTACGTCTATCTCAGATGGTCAAAATGATAAATTATAACAAAATATGATTTCATTGTATGTAAACTTATGAAAAAGACATTTGTTAGATCAAGCGTAGAGTTTACGGGGAAATGAATAAGTCACTTGATGAAGTCGTTAACCTTCATCAACTGCGGTGGCTGAGATATGTGTTACACATGCCTAGTCACCGTCAACCCCGATATGAAATGTTAGTCGATGTAGGTCCACGCTGAGGAACGCCAAGAGTGGTCAGAAAAACAAATCCATCATAGGATGAAGTTTTTAACTGTTTATTCATATAGTGTTGGGAAACGTAAAGTTCCTAATTGGGGTCTGAATGACGACTGAAATCGATGTTATGATGCTCTTAATGATATAGCTTGGAATCGATTTCAGTGGTGCAGATGCGTCCATGTATTATCTTCATCCTAGCCGTCAAATCATATTACGTCAGTTTACTATTCCTTTTTTTCTCTTTCTACTATTTTGTTCTTCACTTTTCCATGTTCCATTTTGCTGTCTTGTATCTTGATGTGCTGATGAGGTGTAGCGACTTGGGCCATTATGTATTATTACCAGTCCCCATGTTGGTGCACTGATTGATCAGCTACGTTGTCTGTTTTTCTCGACAAAACACATGGCAACATCCATAACAGAAATGAAATGACGACCTAAAATGCATCTCGTTATCTGAAAGGACTAATTTTACTAGTTGTTCAATGGATTTCTGATACCCTTCAGTTATAATAAGTCATTTACTTATAAAATGCTTCACAAATGTTTCCCCATTGGCTGCAAACAGTTTAAAATGTCAACAACATTATTTGAATTTGTTACACCTCTGAAGAGTAGCTATGTAATTACACGAATCATCAGAAAACATCAAGGTAACTGTGATCAAAACTCAGTGGACAGAAGGGAAGACATGCTGTAACCGAAATGACATCGAAGGGTTAATCATAGTCTCTTTTTGTATACAGAAGTAGCATTTAACAAGTCTGATTTTAAGAACTGGGGGAAAGCGCAGTAAACTTGGCAGTCTTTGTTTATTTGTTATCGTGAAGGCTTCAAAAATATCTATTTAACGTCCAGTTTCCATCAAGTGTCTAGCTATTGCACTTTCTTCTCCATTCAAAAACGAGTTTCTGGAAATCGAGCAGATGCTATTTTCTCAGTTCTTCCGATGTACTTGCTTCAACAAGTACATGTAAAACAGTGAATATACTTGTAGGTGGTGTGAGAAGGGCTCTTACCTAGCTGGATTTTTTGAGTTCTGGTTAGGTATCGGATAAATATAGATTCTAGGATCGTAGATGTGATTTTCGTCAAACTGATTCCTCTGTAGCCATTACAAAAAACGTTTCACCTTTCTAATCATTTGGAATGATCAGCGACACAGACCAATCTGATGGTTCCCATACGCTAACCATCATCCAGCTTGAAAAACTTCCACGCCCTGCCATTTCACATCTTATCATTTTTGAAATAGTCTTTCCAACCCAGAGGAAAGATGAAAGACCAATATCTACATCCCATTTATGTTCAGGTTGGATTTATTCAATGATATTTCGGGCCAAATTTGTTGCTCGTAATCATATCAAAACCCGATTTAACTTTTCCCATAAGAGCGGTAAATGATAAACAGAGTTAGGTTGCACAGAAATGGGAAGTTTTTTATGCATAACTTCGCGGGCTACATTTCCATTGAATCCCATTTTTAAAAACAGTGGTTTCTTTGGAAGCCACGACTATCTGTATATTTAGAAAACTTTATTAATGACCTAGTGGATAACTCTTTGGGATTCGAAACAATGAATGCTCGTTTCGAGTCTTGGTGGAAGGTATACCCAGCTGACAAGTCCCAATTAAGAAGAAACGTGTATCCTGGATTCCACTGCTAGCCATAACTAAGTAACTTATAACATAATGAATATTCAGGCAACATCTAAGCATCCACAAAGGAGCCCATATGTCATCACAGGTTGATTGATTCGATCCAGTATAACAACTGAAAATTACAAGTATAAAGATATGCAGTATTCACCATAGAGTGACATCAGTTGGAGAACTATTGGAAACTTGGAAAAACTGGACAACTGTTTAGTCCTAGTATGAACTCCTCAGCAGTGTGCACTCACGACCCAGTTGAGAGGAAACAGCTAACCAGTGCCTGCACGTTTCTAATGTTTCTCCAACTGATGTCAGTCCACGATGAATACCAACCTGACGTTTAGTCAATCTTTGATGCTCATCCAGTCTGTTTTTCAGCTATTTTTATGTTTATCCTGCATATCTTGTCGGGTAGTCTGCTCATGGTATTTTATACACTACACTATACATATCCAATTATCTGAACCAGATCTATAAGTCGGTTTAATTTGTTCATTATGAGACCAGTTGATTTAAATGCCGTAAAAATAAAAATCCCTTTATGATTTCTTCTAATTTCCTCTGATGTGCCTTTTTTGTATGACAATACTACCATTCTTTGGTAGTTGACCATTATTGATTTTTAATTATTTTTCTCAAAGTTATTTCTTTTTAGTAATCGTTCTGGATAATGATTCTCTAATAACATCTCGAATAAAACATTTTTCATTCTCCATAGGTAATCAGGGCATTTTGTTACCCTACGTATTATATTTTCAAGACTCTGTATTGAGCCTCATTTTACTGTGATTCGGCTATGTGGTAATTCAAAAATCTTCCCGAAAGTGTTAGTTTTTTATGGATTGTTATTTTTAGATTATCACTGATTGTTATTTTGATTTCACATTATAATACCGGTAGTCCCCCCAAAATCACTTTCGATTTCTATAGTTAACTTTATTGAGACCATCTGAATGAAATCTTTCCATATCCTTCCTATTTATTATTCCTAGTGTATCATTACCATAGCCATTATTATTATTATTTATCATTTAGGTTCCTAGTGGAACATAGGGCTTCAGTAGCACGTCACCATTTCACTCTCTTCTCTGCAGTCTTTTCAACCTGGCTCCACGACTCCCTACAAGCTTTCATTGCATCCTCACACATGTCACCCTCGCCTCGGACGCCCAACTCGTCGTTTCCCATTTGGGTTCCACTCGAGGGCCTCACCTGGCCTGACGTCTAATGGCCCCGAATGGTCTTCTCAGCGTATGTCCAATCCAGCCTATCTCCACGATCAATTTGGTTCAATCAACGACGATTTGATATGAAAACAATTATGCTAAAACTATACCCGTCGCACAAGAAGTGGCTATCGTGGCTCGTTCGTGTAGTGGACAACGCTCTGGCATTTGAAGCGATCGCTCCCGAGTCCGAATCCCGGTGGAAACAACATCACTCACTGAGAAGCAGGTACACCCAGCTGACGAGTCCCAAATGAGACGAAATGTGCATCCTGGATTCCACTGCTAGCCACGATCCATCATTAATATAATCAGAACACAGGTAATATCCAAGCATTCGCACAGGGGCCCATATGCTAATAGAGACAGATCAGTTCAGTTCAATCAACGACGGTATAATATAAAAACAATTATACTATCTTCATTTTCTTCCGCATATTTGTTGCGCGATGAATTCTTGGTTGGTTCGTTGCCATACCAGAGTGAGTTCCTTGTTGCTTATTCCCATTATTCTGGTCATCCATCTGATCTTCAGCATCCAGCATAGGCGTCAGCTGTTGATGAATGTCTGTAGTTTGTTGGAAACGCTTTCCTTCAATGCGCCAAGTCTCTCAACCATCACATAGAAGTACTGACTTGACATTGGTGTTGCGAATCCGGATGTTGTTCACGCTTTATGCTAAGTGAAGTGAAGTGAAGTGCAGTGCAGTGCAGTCGATCTCCACACTGATTTCAGGTTAATCAAGGTCTGTCTTGCTGTCTTTCCGATCCTGGCAGTTTTCATGTGCTCATCTGTGCTGCCACCGCCACGTGTAGTTGAAACGTTGCTGCCAAGGTAGATAGGTAGGTGAACGAGACAACTTCCTTTACATTTCTCCTGTTCATGGTGATTGGTGTGACCTAGTTGATACTAATCTTGGTAAGAAAACAAAGTTTATCAAGAGAGGTGTAGTGTAAGAACAAATTGTTTTTGTATACATAAAGATGGTTCCAATTTGTGTATGGCTATCGCTTCTGCAAATCTCAGTATGCGTCCCTGACTATTTCTAAATGGAACTTTGAAAGCTGTTTGAACATTATTTCGTGACCTGTTTCGGTAATATGTTTAGCTATAGTTGAAGAGGGTCGTCTCCCATCAGCGTTCATCAGGGTGTCACACTCCATTTGTTTTTGAAGCCATTTAGGTACATGTTCTCCCACCCTCAACTGCATAGTTCGATTACTCCACCGTATGTTCGAGTAACCACACACACATACATGTAAATTGGTAAACGCGATGGGATGTGACGTAATCATTGATGAAGTGTTTAGGTTTGTGGTGAAGCATGTTTTGTTTTTTCCCACAATGATAAGATTAGGTGCGTTATATATTTTCCTGGTGGTTGATATCAGCCTACGTCTCAAAATGATACTGTTCAACTCCCTTGTGTAAAGTAGAGTGATATGGATGCTTTTCTTAGGAAGCGTGTTGGCTTTGGTGTTACTTGACCTCTAAAACGGTTTATAAACTTCATCGGATACCTATTTTCCAAAAGTGCTTTCGTCAATAGTTTGATATCTACATCCATCGCATCAGTTCACCAGATACACTACACCTACCTTGGTAAACTTTCTTTTCTTATCAAGATTAGTATCAACTAGGTCACTTCCTGTTTGCTCTCATCTTTCCTCATTTTAATCCCCCTATCATCCTTATTGTTGTATTTGTCCTCCCATTTATTCTTCGGTTTAATATATATTGACTTGACAAGTATATGTATGACCAACTTATTCGAAATGTATTGTGCAAATACATCACATTGTTCAGATAAGCTTCGTCTTCTAATTACGCTATCACAATTGCTATAGATTTATCAGCCTTCAGTTCTTTTAGTGTTGTTAACATCGTGGTATTAGATTTCCCCGATTTTAGAGCACACTGAAGTAGTTACTGTGTTCATGACATTTTTCGAACATTGTTTCAATACAGGGTACGGTGTTTTCGGGCTTTAGCGTTCAGTTGGCAGTATTGAAGTCCTTTTTTTTACACAGAATTATTGCTCTCAATTCTATTGATTTTCTACTCGAATAATTAACGATTTCTTTCCTATGTGCATCGTTTGGGGTTATATTATTTATGGGCTTATTAAGTTTTATGCTTTGTTTTTATTCTGCTTCTTCAAAGATTGCCCCTTTTATTCTTTGTACACTTTCTAATAGGGTTTCATACATCTCTTTCTATAGTACTTCATTCAGTTTTTTTCAACATTATTTACCGAATTTCTTATTGTGGATATTTCATAATTCCATGTAGACTCCCCAGAAAACATAGATGTCGGTCCTCCAACTCTCCTCGAAGCTGAGAAAACGGTTTTGAACCTGAAATGGTACGAAGCACTGGGACCTAACGATCTGTTACCTGATGTTTTAAGAAAGGAAGTAGGAATTCCCTGAGTAAAGCAAAGCAGAGGAAATCTTGTCAGATGGGTCAAGATCGCAGATTGTTGGAGTTTATAAGAAGGGAAAGGCCTTCGTACCACCGTTACTATTTGACTTCGTCATGAGCGTACTAACAGACATAATTTTAGGTATGTCTGACTTCACAGTGACTGACTTACTCCTTGTAGGTCATCTGGTTGACTTGGCGTATCCAGACCATATTGTCCTCCTGGATGAAAATGCTGACGCAATCCAGGGTCTTGTAAACGCGTTGAGCAGAGACCTAAGTATGTTTGGCATTTGCCAACTTGAGTCATCCATGGAGCCGGTCGGCGAGATATCCGACTATTAAAATATGACTATACTGAGCTGCATTCCATTCTATCCTGTCACATGGATTTGAGAAATGACCTGTTTTCGAAGACAGGTGTTTTCGTAACATTGCTGGTGTAAGGTGGGATCATTGTGTGAGTAATGCATACGTGAAGCAAACAGTATTGGGAAAGCCAGCCGAGTCGGTCGCTGAGGTTGTGGACCTTCAGCGAATGAGGTGTCTTGGATATGTACTGCACATGCCAAGCCACCACCTGCCTCGATATGCAATACTACAGGAATTTGGATTACATTGGAAGACGGCTAGGGTGGCCATACAAAGACATGGTACCAATCCATGAAGTGTATGACTCTTGATCTTATCCATATGAGGCGTACGCTGCTTGGTTGGGGTCCTCAAGATGATAAGAATCAACAGTTGGAGAACCTTAGTGAGATGACTGAAAGTCGGTCAGAATGGCCCGTTTGCATTCACTCTTTGACACCTTCTAAAGCTTGAAGGTTTTCACAAACCTTTATTCTTAAATTCCTCCTGCTCCCCCCCATACACCTTTGTCTACCTTGCTAACAGTCTTTTTCTATTCACTTGTTCTTTGCATGCTACTGTTAAGTGTAGCAACTTGAAACAATGTGCCAGGTTCTATGTTGATTTTGTCTATCTATCGTTATGTGTAGATAAAGATGATTCTTATTTTATATACATTGCTGTATTCATCTTGGTGGCTAGCACTGGAATCCAAGAAGAGGGTTTCGCCCTATTTGGGAATCGTCAGCTGGATGTACCTCCATCCCAGTGCGGAGTGATGCTGCTCCCACTGAGACTCGAACCTCGTACCCATCACTTCAGACACCAAAGCGTTATCCACCAGGGCACACATATCGCTATAGTTCCGTGTTTCAGATATCTCATATTACGAGTTCTTTGAATCCCACATTTATCTTCTGCTAGGTAAAAGTATGTTTACTGGCCAGCTTTTTGAGAGGAAGATCGTGAGTATTATAAATACATTGATGAGAAGTTTTTATATTATGAAATAGATTCATGTGATAGAAATGAATTTTAAACGATAAGTTTCGACACAATAATAAGCCTTTTATTGTGGTAATATTTACTATGAAACTTAAGTCATGAGAGTAAACTCTGAACACCAGTAATAAAATATTTTTTACTAACTTTAAATAATGGTCTAGGTTCTTCTAACAATGGAATTGGTGTCTCCCATGAACTCCAATGATAGGCTAAAAATGAACTGGTTCGTTTCCAATGCTCAAGATATAATGATGTCCAGATTAGATTTAATACGCCCATTAGTAAATAATAGAAAGAAGAATTTTTCTACATCAGGATATAGAAGAAAAAAAAGCCAACAAAGGTAAGTTGTGCAATATCGATGTGAAAACAGAGGTTAACTCTTATACTTTCAAATTAGTAAACTTAATCGCTGACAAAATTTGACTAAAAAGGAAACATGTTTGAAATTTACGAATTCGCCTATCAATCAATTCGTTCAGAAGAAAACTTATGTCTATTTTACGATGAACTAAAACATGTTCCATTTACAAATTTTCTCGTATGCAATTTAAACCAACAATTCTGCTTTATTTTGATTCACTGTTGTTAGTGTGACAGCAGAGCTGTAGCTTATCAGTTTAAGTACTTGAATTTCGACCGGAAAGTTGTTGGTTTGAACTTCACTTCACCTATTAAGATTTGGGTAGTCAAGTAGTAAGTATCATTGTCTGTCACACAATAGGCCTCGTCCATTGCTTAGTATACAAAAGTGCACGTAGTTTTTGAGTGCATTTCAAATTAAATTCGAATCACATACACTGAAAGCTTTTCTCAAATAAACTAACAGTTAGTCAACTTTGTACTGAATCTGAAAATAATTGGTCATTCAGTTTATAATGCTTTGTGGGGACTCATTAATTTTAAGGTGGTATTCACCACCGGGTTGACATCCATCGGAGAACCAAAGAAAATATGGGGGGGGGGGGTTAAATAACTTTCTCATTCTAGTGCAGGGCGTACTCACGATCCCACTGGAAATTGAACCAAGAACATTACGTCTATGTAAATTAATCGCTTCTTCCGAAGCAAAAAAGCATGCATTTTCAGTCCTAGCCATCTTCTAAGGGTCACAGCAGAATGCACGAACTGTTCAATGTGATCATGAAAATTTCTAACATTTTATCCACCTTTATTTATGTATTCACTATCTTTTCATACATTCCTATCGACTTTGATAGGATTACTTCTTCTGTTAGCCTTCTCTTCGTATACCCTTGCACAGTGTATCATCTTGAAGTGATGGACTTCGTTGACCATTAAAAAGCTTTTTAAATGGTCCAGCTGACACATTCACGAAATTTAACAATTCACTGTTTCGTTTCTATTAACGTGCACAACACTTGTGGCATAAACAAGATATTTAAAAGCTATAGCTTGTAGGTACCTAACATTAACTGAACCAAGTTGATCGGTCACTGTTCACATATCGATTCCTGTGTGGGTACCTTGCTATCTCTGCTAATTTAAAGTTGAGTCTAATGATAGATAGTGGTTAGTATGGGAATATGGGACAAGTTCTGTTTCCGGCTTATCAGCTGGATATGCCTTCCTACTGAGACTCAAACCTGGCAGCCATCGCCTATCTACTAGGCTAATGAGTAGCGACAGAAAATCCTTAAACAACAGATGTATTATGTACGGTTAACGAGTCCCGAATAAGATGAAACGCGCACCTTTGATCCCACTATTAGCCACTATCCACCGTTATTTTCTCAGATATTAAAACTCCTGTTAACTGTACAATTTACAAGAAAGCAGAACATAGTTGTATTATATGACTGTGAAACATTTTTTTCGAGTGTGGTGGAAATCTGAGATTACAATTAACTAGTTATTGTCACTTTGGCAATTTCGCTGGTGTTTAGTGGGATTACATAGAAGGCTAGATACATATTGCTGGGTAGTAAAGTAGTTCGGCTGATGAAGTTATAAATCCTCACCGACTGTTATATTTACGATGTGTATTACGAATGGTGGATAGCTAAAAATATCGCATTTAAGGAGTTTCGAATTTCTTGGATAACACCTATCACTTATCCTAAATGTATACAGCATTGTTCAGAATCAATCGGTTGTAGTGTCAGATGTTTATCTGCACCTTATCTTTTTGGGGATTGGAAAAATTTCATTACTTACTTTCACTGATTTTCTTCGTTGCTATGTTTTCTTTGTTTATTTCTCCTAGGTTTTTCGGTACTAGTGATTGCTTTTCATGAACTTCCGTTACTATTTCCTTCTCGTTCTGTTGGTAACAAGTTTGACATTTTGGGCTGATACCTAAATACACTACATTCCACATCATTTTCGTCTGATTAACAATTAAGCGACTGAAGATAGCTCAAGTTGGTCAGTTTTCATACTTATACCACATGATGACAGATGTTTAACGAAATCTTAACGTTCTTAAATGAATAATTTCAGTGATAAAAGACTTTATAAACCATAGTGAGCCCAGTCAAATCAGTAATCGGAAATGCAATGTAGATTAGATAAGCAGGATTCGCATACTTAGTTATTTGACCTCCTTCAATGTATGATTGGCGTGATAATCCAATGGCTTTATCATTCAACTGATTCATACAAAAACCAACTTTCAGAATTTTTAACAACTCTATGTAGTATCGAAAACTATTATTGAACAACTTGAGCAGTTAGAAACCAGCCAGATCAGATCAGCCTGAGTGGTTTCAAACTACTCAAGTTGTTCAGTAGCAGCATATTTCGCTAGTTTATAACCCCTTTACTGTCAGAGATTACACCCTATGATCTTCGCTACGAGGTGGTTTTCAACAGAAACCCTGTTGATACCACAGTAGGGTGACAGTTGAAAAACTACTTAGATAGGAGAAATGTCAATGTGCACGATAAAATTTGCATACAATTTGAAAGTTGATCATCTTATCCCGTGTAGTATCACCTAAGCTTATTCAATAATCGCGGATTATGGCACAGTGCACAAATCTACACGGGATTTCTGAAAGATTAAAGTACCACATTTGAATCAGTGACCCAGTTTCCTTGAAATCAAACCCTCTTCACCACTACAACACAATTCTACAATTACCAAAACACTGTTTGCAACAAACTAAGAATCTTTATATGACAATCCTTAACAAGCTAATAGAAACGACTTATTTTTTCAAGTAGGCATTGATCATGGACCGACATTAGTTGGAGGAACATTGGGAACCTAAGAGCATTGGATAGCTGTTTCGTCTCACTAGTATGAGACTCTTCAGCAGTCCGCGCCCACGACCCCGACCTCCAGGATAGAACTTGAGACCATCAGGCTCTGTGGCCAGCGCGTTACCATTGAGCCACTAGGTCGGAATCCGATCATCCACATTTCCAACTCGTGTCAGTTCACGACATAACGCGACCGCCACCCAATGTCATCGATGAGTATGTGTCCTCGCGGCCACCAGGCTTGCTCCACTGATCACGACTTCTCATTGAAACTTCAGGAATCACCTCTAGAAACTAATCACCAATGAGCACTAGATCAATGTAATTTGGGGGTTTGTGGGGATTTAGAGATTTTTCATGTGTACATTAGTGACTAGCTTCGAGAGGTGATTCTTGAAATTCCAATGAGAAGTCGGGACCAGTGGGGCAAACCTGATGGTCATGAGGACAAATACTCATCGATTACACTGGGTGTAAGTTACGCTATGCCGTCAACTGACAGCAGTTGGAAATATGGACCATTGGATTCCGACCCAGTGGCTCAATGGTAACGCGCTGGCCACAGAACCTGAAGGTCTCAAGTTCTATCCCTGGAGATCGGGTCGTGAGTTCGCACAGCTGAAAAATCTCATACTAGTGGGATGAAACACCTGTCCAGTGCTCTCAGGTTCCCAATGTTCCTCCAACTAATGTCAGTCCATGATGATTACCAACTTGAAAAATCTTTAAATCACTACAAACCCCTAAATTCAATAGAAACAACTTACATTCGGACTGACAAATAACCATACAATAAGTCCAACAACAGAAGGAAATATCAATGAATAGGTATAATGACCAAGCCATGCAAAATAGATTGCAACTTTTGCACCAAAATATTCTTTAATTTCATCTAACGGTTGATGTACAATCCAACCACGTATCCAAATACGAGTTAATTTCTCTAATGCATTCGGTTCATGTAATGGGAATATTTGATTGATAATACCAGCAGATTGAAGGGATGGAACTAGAATTATAAGTGGTAAAGGAAAACAAGTGGTCAGTAAACAAAAATATACTAAGTAGTATATATTCCTCATCAAAATAATTTAGTGAATTGTAAGTGGATCATGTATAGGAAATTTTTGTTGAACTATTCGCTCACTGACATTCATATTATTACTAAGATGATGATGAATAGATATTTACACATTGTTAATCTTCATGTCAGGTTGGCAAACTTTTCGTACGTCAGTTAGCTGAATATCGATCTGTTAAGTAAGAGGAGACGAATGCTTCAGAGACTTTCTTTATTTGATATAGCACAGTGTTGCGGTATTTTTTACTGGATGACATCTCGAGCATAAATTAGTACTGTTTATAATCATATCAATGTAAACACACCACTTTCGACATCTGAGTTTTACAGTCCTGTAACCTGATATTCTTTGTTTTTATTGGTAGTAAAGTTTTCTATATCTTTGGTATACGTGCTGAGTCATTCCTATTTTGTGTGTTGGTTGTTGATTTGATGAACAAAGATTCAGTAATCAATCTCTCTCCTCCTCCACCTAATTATACTGGACTTGAGTACAGTGGTTTTATCCCAATCACCCAATTGTGCGGTTGTATGTTAATGCATGGATTGCAATAGCCGAATACTTTCCTAGATTATTGATGTTATTCCGGTCTGTCATTCTACATTTGGCCAAATTCCTATGTTCGTCTATTCTAACTGACACCGACTGGCTAGTTTGGCATATGTACTTGACCTCACTCACAATCATTACATGGAATTTGATAGATTATATTATTTTTCTCAATTGGATCTACTGGATGCTTAAGCCAGTAGGCAAAGCTTATCTCTGAATGAGTTTGTAGGTTTAAATAACACCTTAATTCCAGCTTTGTTAAGAGTCCTACGTAAAGTTTAAGATGTTCCTTCCTTATACGGTAACATAATAAAGGCTTTGAACTCCTTTCTACCAGTGTTTTAGTTATTATTCGCCTTCGTATTATTGTTAACATTTTGTTTCTTATGTGTTCGTACGAATTCCTTCATAAACTGTAGAGGTCCTTGCACTGACTAGTGAGTTTTTTGGCTCTATCATTGATATATTTGATTAAACCCACCTTAACTGGCATTGGATGAGATGACCTGACGCCTAGATACCTGTTACAATGTGTGGGTTTCCTGTAGACGGTAATATCTAAACCATTGTCTGTTCTTCGTTTTACTCTGTAATACAACATAGGTAATTCTCCTTGTTCATTTTCGACCCCATAAGTGAATTAGATTGTGCCTACTACTGAATTTATGAGGAAATTGTCGATATGTTCCGATTTCAACACAGTAAATGTGTTATCCACATATTTTAGGTTTAGGATTAAACGTTCGTAAAGCCATCTTTTCTCAACTATCCATAAATAGATCTCCAACGATTGGGGATCTTGGTGATCCCATTGCTACTTCTCTCCTTCTCTCTATGTATTTTGTCGTGAAACTTGAAGACTGTGGAGGTCAGGAACAACTGTACGCCTAATATGATGCTCCCTCCATCTGATTCACTTACATTTCGATTGGGATGAGAAGTCCTGACTGGTGAGCAGTCAGTGTCAATACGATCAAGTGGTAGTAACGTGTCACGAATTCACATGATAGTCAGGCTAAATCCTTGGTGATTGAAGTGAAATTAAATTTTTGTGAGCCGTCGGACCTCGTAACTCATTTGTAGAGCACCGGGCTGGTAACCCAGTGGTCGCTGGTGCGCATCCGGCCCTGGTTCAAATTTTCATCACCCAGTATAAATACTAGTCTGTCATCATCATCAACCGATATCTTAGTTCTATGAGTAAGTTCTGAGTAAATGGGAAATCATACTATGTAAGAACCAAATATCTTGTTAGATATTACTTGAACACGCACACCTTTTTGACTAACGGTCAGGAATTAATGTATTGCAAATATCCTTGAAATGCCTGTGCAAATGTGTAGCGTGTTAGATCTGTCAAAAGTAACTACTTACCCTCACTTCTTGGGTTTCTTTGATGCAAGCTCGCAACATCATTATTCGCGCTAAAAAGTGTCAGTATAATTTTATTATTCTCCAGTGTCTTAGTATTGTTAATAAGGTATACTACTTTATACTTCTCAAAAACACTCAAAGTAAAGTCGCACAACTGCGACAAATTAATATGTCTCCAGAGTGCAAATTTTTCCTGACCATACTAGGAGGATTAGAGTCAGAATAAATTTTACGTTGATTTCCTTCGAGTATGTGTGTGTACTGCTGAGAAATAGCAAACTAAGCCGAAACATCTGTTTCCAGTGCTTCCAGTTATTTAATGGTTCTGTAACTGATGTCAGCGCATAATGAAAACTACTTTATAACAAGTAGGTTCCTACAAACCAACAATCGCAGAACCACTGAAAACCTGGGAGCACTGGACAGCTGTTTCGTCTTAGTATGGGACTCCTCAGAGGTACCCATTCACGACCCCGCCATCTGGTGTTCAGGTCACCTTGATCTAGCTAGCGAGCACTGCCTATCGGTGTGAGTAGTCTAGACCTACTCATGCCCGTCAGTAGTATGTCGCGTGCAGCCTCATGCTCTCAGTTATGACACCAGTCGTGGTATCGACCAGATGCAACTATGTGGTCTGAATATTTTAGTTTGCATAGGAAACCATAAGTGAGATTTCTCATCAAGGTTCGCGAAGTTTAGAAAATATCTAACCTGATTTTCGGTTTTCTCTTCTCAATAGTAGTTACTCAGCAACATTTCTCTGCCTTAGTCTTCAGGAGATATTGTCAGACTACATAATCTAATTGTCTGACTCTGTATAAAAACTACTTTTACTGAGATTAGAATCTATATTAATACATATCAGTCATACTAAATGCAAGTTAAAAGGTAACTCAGCTCAATCATCAACTGAATGATATGTAGTGCCAGATAGTTAAACTAACTGACAACGAAAACATAATTCCAATGAAATCTCCCAGTAAATGTTCGATTAATTACAGCTGAAGAGTATTAATTCTGCCCGAAATATATTACTATGGCTTAAAAATCCGATCATTATGTGTAAACAGTATTATTCACTGTAAATTTATTGGAGGTATATTGTTAATATATTGACACCACTGTCTTTCATACACTACGGCTTTCATTACAAAAAGAACATGTAGAAAGTATCATAAAGAAGTATTTCTTTATACATGGTATATCAATTAGAAAGCCAAAATCAATATGATGCGATGTATGATATAGTCGACTGATAGGTAATCATGAGATAAAGGATTACTGACCACTTGTACTCGAGTTATAACCGTTTCCAAAACATGAAAAGAATAATAAACAACAAAACTAGCATATCTATTCGTACTGTATCTTGACTGATGTTGATTTGTTTTTAATAGGAAGCGGCCTAAGTCATCAACCGCTATAGTATAAGCTTTTGTATTGTAATTCTTTGTTTCATTTATCTGTGCGGTCAGGGAAAACCCTACTGGACAATTTTATCCCACAGATGACCAGTCAAAATGAATATCCAACTTATGACCTAATAGCTTTATATGTTCATGAAAACTGTAAATAAATGATGTACTTCTATTGAACAAAGTTTCTTCCTTACAATCATAGGCTGATCTTTGCTTTCTAGTTTTCGTGGTTCAGTGAAGTGTAAAGTACTGCGAGAGAACAATCACTATACGCATTCAGTCCAAGTATCTCACTGCGTTAGCATCATCCGGTCACTTCAGTTTAACTAAATGAAACTACTTCTTATATACAAGAATAAAAACTAAAATAGGAATAGACAGCATACAACGGTTGACGGAAAGTAAACCGAAGGTTATACGAAAGGAAATGATGCCTTTACAATGTGGAAGAACTTCAAAAAGGATTGAATTACAACATAAGAGATACCTCGAAACCAGAATTATTTGCAGCATTAGAATCGTCACTTGAAACATCTGGATTAAATGAGGTCACTCAACAAGAAATATGGCAAACAATCGTACCACTGACCAGGCAGAAGAAATATCACGCTCAAACGAACACTCAAAAACAGAAAACATTAAAAAGACTGGGAATAGAGAAGATATGTTACACTTCCAGCAGACAAAGGACGCATCACTGTAGTCATGGACAAATAAGACTACATCAAGAAAGCAGAGAATTTACTCAACAACGAGAATGTACATCAACCACTTGAAACCGACTCTATCCAGAAATTCGACAACAAGACCAATAAAACCTTGAACAAACTCTTCAAAGCAGAAGAAATAACAAAACAAGACAAATGGCGAATGAAATAGAATGGATCTGTCCTTCCTAAGTTCCACAGTAGACCAAAAATACACAAACCAGATATCCCTCTACGATCAATAGTTTCATTTCCGGGAACTCCAACATACAACATATCAACAACTTTCGAGAAGACTGAAATACCTTGTTCAACCGTGCGGACATCCCATCAAATCATCAACAGAATTCTTAGAAGAGATCAAAAGCATTAGTATAGAAAACTACGAACTAACGGTGTCCTTTGATGTCACAGTATTATATACATCAGTCAAACCACAGTTGGCCAAGGAAACTATATCTCTCCTGCTCATTGAAGACACAAGCCTTTTAGAACGCACAAAACTTTAATGTCTACGCCTGATGGAACTCATCGACCTTTGTCTGACAACATACTTCTAATTCAATGACAAGATATACAAACAGATGAAAGGAAGTCCAATGGGATCACCGAGATCCAGACTAATCGCAGAGACTAGAAGACATTATTTTACCTATGATTCAACCAGAAATTTGGATTCCCTATGCGGACGACACTTTTGTCATTATTAAAAAAGATGAAATAGAAAACACTCACAGTTTGATCAACAACGTTTTCAATGACACCAAATTCACAATGGAGAAAGAATCAAACAACCAACTACTATTCCTCAATGTTTTAGTCAGTAGGACAAATGCCATAAGATGGAAACCCAAGTGTACAGGAAGCCAACACACACTGACCGAATCCTCAACTACAGTAGTAACAACCCAACAATGCACAGAATTAGTTGAGCGCAGACTCTATTCAAAAGAACGAGAACATACCGCAGTACAATAACTTCACGGAGAAACGAAGAAAATTACTCGCTTTCTATCCTAAAGAACAACGGCTACCCACAAAACTTTATCAGAAGATGCCTATCCCGTAAATCATCAACTACAAAGTCATCGACAGAAATCAACAAACCCATCATCCTACCATACATAAAGAATATATCAGAAATCACGACAAGATTACTTACACCACTTGGAATTGGTGTGGCTCATAAACCAACAAATCCCCTCCAAACACTATTCTGCAGACCAAAGGATGCGACAACCGGAAAAGACAAGCAGAATGTCATTTGCAAAATCAATTGCAATAACTGTAGCCAACACTACATTGGACAAAGTGGTCTCCCTCCTCACCTTCGTCTACATGAACACCAATTGCCTATTAAACGTCACACACGACATTTCGTCACTCATTTAAATGCATGTGGATAGTCATAAACATGAATTCAATTTTGACAATGTAGAAATCTTGAACAGAGGAAACACAAGGAATATCAGAGAATTCCTAGAAGCTTGACATCCAGGAATCAATCAGTCAGACATCAACGGATGTATAGACATAGACCTAATCTACCAACCAATAAGAAAAATGACAAATGATAGAAAAGTCAGAGGTCAAGCAGAGGAGCAGCCAACAAGAAAATCTGTACAGTCAATGACGCAAAAATCAAAGGAAACAACCAGTCACAAAGTAGTTCTTCAAGGCAAGTTACTGAATCACTCACGGAGAGGTGTTAACTGCTCACTTCATACTGAAGTTGGTGCTGATGATGTAGTCTAGAAAGACGATGATAGCTCCACGACTAAACAACCCAGCTCAGAGAACACAATACAACCAAGACCATCCACCTGAGCTACAAATATCCTCTACTGTTTTAATGGTACTGTCAGAGTAAATTTCGTTTGCTCTATCAAATAGGGTATTGATTAAGTTCTTTTTATATTAGATTGGGACAAAACTCTTGAAGTGGAAATACTGTCCAGATCATTAAAACTTTCCGTAGATGGATCTTCCTACAGATCCATCATTCCTTTTTACCAAGAAAACGTCTAGGAAGTTGATTTGATCATTTTATTCGTGTTCAACTGTGAAGTTAAAGGTTACGTGACAAGAATTAAAGTTCTTCAGTGGGGTTTCTGCTTCCACTTTACTTTTACGTACGATAAAAATATCATCCATCCACTGTTACCAAGCTTTTTAATTCATGCTTATACACCCTGTTTCAAAATGACGCTATTTCCAGTCTTTTCAATATTCGTATTCTCATTGGTATCATTATCATTATTATCACTCACTCGTATTGTCACTATTGTAATCAATATTTTTGTTTACCTAACACTTATATTCTCTTCACTTAGTGTACACCTTTATCAAGTTATCTAGTTGACTACTTATTGTTCTGTTCGAAATGATGTAATCCATTCCTATTCCTTTTATTTTTCATTATCAATTCGTTAACCCCCCTCCCAACCTAATCCTAACTCTGTGTTGCCATGCCTCAGTCGATGTCTTAGTCTGTTGTATTATGTGTGTATGTATTCCTTTATTGTACAACAGTATATATATATATATATATATATATATATATATATATATATATATATATATATATATATATATATATAATCATGTATGTAGAGTAGAAAGCGCTGACGACTCCTACTGAAATTTATGAATTCAATAAATCTCGCTATGAATTACATTTGTTGCCTGTTTTAAATTTGTATCAGGAAATAAGTGTTTTCAAAAGTTCCAGCAACTAATATTTAGTCATGAGTAAGTCTATACAACGAGATTGCTTGAAATGCTAGAGTAGACGCATGCATAATCTAGCCATTAGCTTATTTCCCAGAGACTTTGAGCACATTATCATGGTAGTACGCATATATACACACACACAATTAGTCTTTTCAAGTTATCCAGAAAACTTAAGCAATCAAAGTGATCTTTAAAACACTAAGTTAGATTTCAATAAAAAAGATTCCCACTTACATAACAAGACAAAAAGAACATGCCTAACACCCTCGATTTTTAATTGTTAAACAATGTTTTTAAAAAATATTGAAAATTTTTACTGCATTCGTTTACCATTGTCTTTTTCATTACACTAAACAAAACGTATTTATCTAACGGAAATAGTCAGTAAGTGATAACAACGTAGACAGATGATAGGAAACAAACTGCGATAGATAGAAAACAAATGAATGAAATGCTGGCACTATTCATTTAGAATACAGTCAACAGCTACTTACATACAAAATTCACTTTTACTAGATATACTGTAGTATGTTAGTTCGAACAAGAGTATGACAGCAGTAAGGTGTTTCTCTTGGATGACTAGTAGTGCCACGCTTATACTGCCTTCCCTATGGGAAACGGAAGGTTAGAAAAGGTTGGCACCAAAAATAGCACACTCCCACTACCCCACGGTACACGAGTGACGCGACCTAAGGTTCATAGTCGGCTTTAAAACTAAAAGACCAAAATCTCAAACTTCCACAAGGGTTATATGAACTCAGTGGTCACGCACTAACCCTTCTTTTTCAGGTGACCAAAGAAGAAATAGCCATCTACAGTGTGAGCAGCCGCGGTTTCACAACTTTGTTAGCATTCGATTCCCCTTACTGTCAGCTTGAATGGAAAATTAAACTCGAAGAAAAAAACAGTAAATAAATACAATTCAATTACAAATAACGTAACTACTTACTCATACATTGTCCATCCACTAATTTGACTGAACAAATATCAGAATCTTCACGATAAGCACGTAAACTCATTAGAAAATGATTTACAATATTACTACGTTCACTGGTAGACAGAAAAAGTTTTTCATCCATTACATTGTCGAATAGACCGAATTCTTCAACTGAGAATTCACGTAAACCACCACCATGTTCAGATAATAAAGGCTTTTTAATTCTTAATTCTTCAGCACCAGTTAGTAAGCTTTAGAGAAAACAAGTTTATTTCAGTAAAAATAGAGCGAAGTATGTTACAGACTATCAGAAATAATATACGCATAAAAGTGCTATGGATAAACGTCTAAATGACGTTATAAACTTACATAGTACTAAACTGAAGTAGCATTTCACACCCATATTAAGGTGTGATAAAACTTTCGGTTCGCTGTTACAGTTCGCAAAATCGTAGATAATAAAATCACTAAGTTTAGAGGTTTGTGGGGATTAACTGATTGGTTCCAAGGCGGTGTTCAATACGAACTGATACCAACTGAAGAGCCATTGAAAACGTCAGAGCACTAGAAAACTGCTTCGTCCTAGTATAGAACTCCTCGGTAGTGCTCACCTACCACTTCGCCAAATATTGAACCCAGGACATTCAAGTCTCACGGCGAGTGCATTACCATTCAGGCATTGGATTGGAATCCAATGAGCAACATTTTTTGTGATGAATACCAACTTGAAATCATCAAACTGAATTATTATCCAACACTCATTAGTGAAGTTCGAATGAGAACCAGTTCGGATGTGAAGATGAATACTCAGTAATGATATTGGATGACGGTCGTACTATATCCCGAATTAAAGGGAGTAGGAAAACATGAACCGTTGGATTCAGACCGAGTGACTTAATGGTAACGTGTTCACCGCGAACCACGTGGGTCCTGAGTTCGGTTTTTGCTGGGGTCATAGGTGCACAATGTCGAGGTGTCTAGTAGTCCGGTGTTTCCAACGGTTCTACAAGTGATCCCAATTCATGATGAATACTACCTTAAAATGGAATCATTGTTAGTGTTCAACAAACTGAATTGTTTAAAACAGAAGAAACTAACTTTCACTCTGGATTTCCGATAGTCTTGGTCATTAAAATAGCGAAATGAATGCCTAGCTATATACCATGAATCTGTTATACATTACTTATAAGATTCTAAACATCTAGGTCATAGTTATAACGAGCGTCTTGAAAGAAGTTGAGCATCGAATCAGGTCTAATCACTACATAAGTTTCGTTCTAGTATTGGACCTTTCGGCAGTACGCACATACGACCCAGTATGGCATCGAACTCCGGACCTTCAGATCTCACGACGAACGCATTGACCATTCAGCCACTGGATCACAGTTTGATGGTCTACAGTTACGAGATGAATATCCTGAAGTTCTAATGAGAAACCGTGACCTGTGTGATTAATCACTCGAAAGTGAAGCGGATGCTAACTGAAGACTTTGGGTGATAGTTGCGCCATATCGCGAATTGACAGAAGTGGAAAACTATGGACCACCAAACTCCGACCCGGTGGCTGAAGGGTTAACGTGTTCGCTATGAAACCTGAAGGTCCTGAGTTCGATGCCTAGCTAGATTATGGGTGCGTATTGCTGAGGAGTCTAGTACTAGGACGGCTGTCCAATGCTTCCACACTTTTAATGGTTTTCCAACTGATGTCAGTTCATAATGAATGCCACCTTAAACAAAAAGTTCTCATTAACCTCAAAAATAAATTGTATTTTTGCCAATGAAATGTTTCGCGCTACAACAGTAACTTTCAGTAAACACTGCCATTGTAAATATGCTTTTCAGTAAACTAGAAAATATGATTAACATGAAACTGTTCACACTTGTGAAGTAACTGTCATTGATTTCAACCAACGAGATTGTGATAAAATTGAAAATTTACCTAACCTGTTTCAATTTGACATGATCTATATTCCGCTACATTTCATTCAGTACAGATAGTCCACTCAATCTGTTTTATGCAGATTATAGATAATACAAGTGTATGCACTAAAAATGATAGTTAACTGTTTCGGAATGTGTTTCTAAAGTTGAAGAAGTCGGTAACCAAAGATTGTCAAGCTATTCAATTCACTTAAATTTTATAGGTTGTCAACTGAAACTCAACAAGGTGTTAAATTGATCTTGGTGACTAGCAGAGGAATCCAGGACGCGTTTCGTCCAACAGAGATCGAGCGATTCGGCCCTGTATAGCAACGGGAAATCACAAGTATCCTTACAACAATTGATACCCGCTACCCAAGAGGTGGCTATTGTGTCCCGGTTGACAACGCTGTGGCGTTTGAAGGGAAGGGTGCCGAGTTTGAGCCTTAGTGAGAACGACATCACTCAGTGGGGTGCGGGTATATCCAGCTGCAGAGTCCCAAATAAGACGAAACGTGCAATATAACATCATGAAACTAAACAACTTGGTTGTAATGTCTCTAACTTGTGTGGAAAAGGAACGCAAGTTGAATTACAAGCAATAAAATGAAAACTACGTCTGTCGTACAAGGATTCATTGGTCTAGTGGATAACGCTCCGGTGTTTAAAGTGATTGGTCCTGAGTTCGAGTCTTAATAGGAAAAACATCAGTCACTAGGAGACAGGTACTTTCAGCTGACGAGTTCCAAGCAGGACGAAACGCGAGTTCCGAATTCCACTGCCGACTATTATCCTTGATTTCTAACAAGATGAGATCGCTTAAACAGAACCAACCTGCTTTGGGGCTGTAGATGTATTTCCCGAATTAGTGCTAAAAGGTGTGAAAACTGTATCTAAGACTTTTCACCAATCATACCCAACCGACTAACCGGAGATTGACACTCCGTTCATAAGAACCAGCCATTAGTATTCATCATGAAAGGCACACAAATTGACTAGAATTAACAACTTACCCTCTGTATGACGCTGTCATATAAAGTGCATACTGTCCTGATGTTCGATGAAATTGTTTTTGTAAAACAAGTTGTGGTACACGCTTTCTTGTAATCTTAATTAACCAGTCAACAATGTCTTCGGAAATTCCTCTTTTAAATATTAATACAACATCACAGTCTGTAGACGGTACAGCTGAAAGACGTCGCCATTTTTGCGTACGTGTTATCACATTTTTGCTTGTCTGAGCTACTTGTTTTTGTAAATCAGTTAACTTTTCTACAATTGAAAGTAAACAACAACACCTAACCTTAAAAACCATGCACAACCAATGGAGTGAATATTGGACAATCTATGAATTAAAGAATGAAAATTAACTGTCTGCATGAAGATAGGAAAATTATACTATAATGTCAATCGGATTATTATTTTTCCCTTGGGTTCCTAGTGGAACATAGGGCTTCAGTAGCACACCTCCATTGCACTCTCTTCTCTGCAGTCTTTTGAACCTCGCTCCATGATTGCCCACAAGCTTTCGTTTCTTCCTCACATCATCTCCTCCATGTCACCCTCACCTTGGACATCCAACTCGTCATTTCCCCTTTGGATTCCACTCGAGGGCCTGACGTGTGATGTCTCCAAACGGTTTTCTCAGTGTATGTCCAATCCATCTCTACTTTCTCCTGCATATTTGTTGGGTGATAGGTTTTTGGTTGGTTCGTTCCCCGAGTTCCTTGTTACTTATTCTTATTATTCTGGTCATCTGACCTTCAGTATCGAGCCAGCGTAGGCAGCTGTTGATGAATGTCTGTAGTTTGTTGGAAGTGATTTTCGTGACTCGCCAAGTTTCTGAACCATATAGCAGTACTGACTTGACATTGGTGTTGAAAATCCGGATCTTGTTCTTTGTGCTGAGTGCAGTAGATCTCCACACTGATTTCAGATTAGTGAAAGGCTATCTTGCTTTTTCGATCCTGGCTTTGACGTCCTCATCTGTGCCGCTTGTAGTTGAAACGATGCTGCCTAGGTAGGTGTAGGTGAAAGAGACTGCTTCCTTTAGGTTTCTCGCGTTGACGATGATTGGTGCTTGTTGTTGATGCTGTTGTTGGTTGAGTATCTTCATCACCTTTGTCTTCTCTACATCCACTTGAAGTCCTGTTTTCGCTGCTTCGCCTCTTCAGTCAACTTGTTGGTTTTCGGCAGTAGATCTTTGAGTTTTTGCGGCATTAAACATAAATCATCGGTGAAATCCAAATCCTCGAGGCTCCTTTCATCGGTCCAGCGTATCCCCCTCTTCTCGCTCCTCATTGTTTGCTGCATGATCTAGTCCACCACAATCAGATGTCAATCGGATAGTACATCCCTAATCCATTCAGATGGTGACATCCTTCCAAGTACTGATAACCACTGGTGAATAACTGAATGTATGTACTTATGACCATCCAATACGGTTGACCTTAAGAACCTTAAGCTACACGTAAAGTGAGTTGTTACTTTTGTCCTTCAACAGTATACTTTATAGTCTCATCACATCTCTACATCAATGACTACATCCTGTGACCTTGATTAGCCAGGTGATTTCCAACGAAGACATCACAGATAGATACTACAGTTGGACAGTTGAAAAATTACTCTGCTCTTATAAAGGTCAATAATTTACGCATCGTTCATTCATATTACAATACACTGCATCCATCAAAATTGACGTCAGATAATATTTTTTTTTTGACATACTGCTTAGAATAAGCTACGTTTCCTACAGACAAAACAATCATCTAATGCTTAAATCATTATGATTTGGACAATAAAAAGTGTACATCAACAGGTTAGCCCATTAGTAATTGTGTTCTTGAATAGTAAGTATTTTAGAGAGTAAGTTAAACTGTGAACAAACAAGTGATCCTGATAACTTAGTTTTCCAAAATTAAGAAGTCCAACACCTGTTTGTTTCTAGTATACCAGAACGACTAAAATAATGGACAAATAAATATTTTCTATATTATATTTGCCAAACTAAGATAGATAGAACACAATGATAGAGAATTACTTGCTTAATGACGTTACGTGCACAATTTATTGCTCATAATCATATCATTACTATCATTGCAATAATTACATTACAATAATAGGGTGTTACTGTGTGCCATTCTAATATGAAATTACATTCTGCTAAAGTGTTCAATTTTTGGGCCTACAATAAATTATTATTTATTATTACTTATCCTTTGGGTTCCTAGTGGAACATAGCGCTTCAGCAGCGTCTCCATCTCACTCATTTCACTTCCTACTGTTGAAAGACGTGTCAATATAGACTAGTTTAGGAGTAACAATTTACATTGGGGTGGTGAGAAAAGTATCCCTAACACTTTCAAACTGCCATTTAAGGTGTCTAGAAGACTGTATATTTTGCCGAAATATTTACTTGACAGGACTAACTAATCCGCATACTCTACATTTACTAAGGAGTCTCCTGTCATAAGATAAATATCTGTGAAGTTGAACAAGAAGAGGAAAACCTACATAAGGATATGTTTGATAATATTATTAATAAATGAATACTAACGATGTTTTTTCTATAAACTAGAGGTACAACGAAGTAAAAAATTTAGGGAAACTCACTTTGGCATTCATCCAACAGTGTCATCATAAACAAATTTCTTTTGAAAAATGTGCAGGCAGATCGTTAAGTTAGCCTAGGAATAGAGTTTTGCAACAACAAAAACAATAATCAAATTACTCGCAAGCAAAAACTTATACCACGAGTATTCTAACAAACATGAAATTCTATGTAAACCATAAAAGAACCTCCTGTTTTTTATGTATACTCAAAACGAAACAAACTAGCCTTAAAACAGATTACAATTGACTTACTCACATAATGATTTAGTAGATATAAACTTCTAATAAAATAAGTGGTAACGTTGATGCATAACAAATATGTAATTCATTTTGGAGGTTTTTGGTATTAATCACGGACTGAGATCAGGCTCCTGGGAACCTGACGGCCCTAAGTTCGATCCCTCGGGGGGTCATGTGTGCACACAGCTGAAACAGCTACCCAGTGCTCCCATGTTTCCAGTGGTTCTCCAACTGGTGTCAGTCCGTGATGAATACCAACCTAAAATCAATAAATAAATCCCCATAAACCTCTATATAGAATTGCTCCCTAGTAGTGACTAGTAATGAGATTCCTGAAGTTCTAGTGAGAAGTCTTAACAGGTGGGGCAAGCTAAGTAGAACGTGAGAACTGTTACCCAACGACAGTATCGCATGGGGTTGCGCTATATCGTGAACTAACAGAAGTAGGAAATGTGAACTACTGGATTCTGACCCAGTGGGTGAATAGTAATGTGCTGGTTACGAAACCTGAAGGTTCAATCCCTGGTAGAGTCATGGGTGCACACTGTTGAGGAGTCCCATACTAGGACGAGACAACTGTCCACTGCCGCCAGGTTTGTAATGGTTTTTAAACTGATGTCAGTCTGTGATGAATATAAACCTAAAATAAACATGTCTAACTTTAGGAACTAGTCTTGTCATTGCTGCTACTCAATAGTTCAATTTCTCACTTCCGAACACTGGAAACAGTTCCATTTCCTACTCCGTATGCAACATTTTGAGTAGGGTGACAGAAAGGGGATTATTTAGTGTCAGTTAGTAAGTAACTACAATAGCATCTAGCTACTTTTGCTGCAATACACAAATTCACCAGGTGTGAAGCAAAGCCAGCGCTATCATGAACTCAAACGTTAATTATCGTGTCAAATTTTTGGTTCATCTTTTTCAGAGCCCGTGGTTATTATTCCTTCATATCACAGGATGTAGCTGGTTAGTCGCAACAGTTACAAGACAGAAGTGTTTAAAACATTACCTTATTATCAACAACATTCGTTTGCGACTAAGTAGTTGAAGTTGCGTAATGCAAAAGTCTAAAGAGCCCTGCTTCTAGGAACAATTGTCTATTAAGCTCTTACCATACTAAAAATACCAGCTGAACAGTGGCTAGTTTAAAATTTGCTACTGCCATAGTATAAATCACTCACGCTATAATGATCTTAGAGTAATTTTGCAATCCTGTCAGTAAAAGGATGTGATGGCGAGGGGTGTTTTACTCAGAAGACCAGAATTTTAACTATGGTGTCTTCCTACTGTAAGTAGGAGGGGTTAGAAATGGTTGACCTATGCCGTCTACCCTTCTCTATAGTTTTCCATCCCCGGTGACAAAATTCTTAAATCAGTGGGTTCAACTCTACACAAATCAGAGCCAGCAAAAAGACGGCCTCAGGTGGCTGTGACTTGGACCATGCAGTCATTTGATGCGAATTTACTTCCACCTTCGGGCACCATGATGTGGAACAGCCAAAAAGTGTAACTCATCCTCATACTTGCAGAGCCATATCCGACATAGACAGTAATGACTACCTGGAGGACTTCAAATTTATCTACAGGTATCACAGTCGCGTTATTGCTCAATGAATTCGGTGTTTGACTCGATCGTGGGTCCATGCCCTATCCCACTCAGTAAGCCTATGGCAGCCATGGAGCATACTTTCCTTACACAATGGATGTGGTTCACTGTATAGTAAACAAATGTGTACTTGGTTACTAAGTTTAGCTTGTTTTACTTATTTTCATATATAACATGGAGTTATGGTTTTTCAGCCTCTAAGAATATTTCAGAAGAGATACTACAAGGAGATAGTGAAGGGTTCCTTTGCATAAAAACTGTTAAGCACCTTTAAGAACAAGTACACCATATAATCTAAAGTAGTTGCGGTAATACGACAAGTACACTTGTCACATCAATGTTATACATCATGATAAATAGGCAATAGCAATTACTTCTTAAACTTCTAATTCATATCTTTTTGACAGACATCTATTCTACAACCTATACATAAGTTCTCAGCAAAATTTTGTATAATATTGAATTTGCCATTGTAACACCATTCGTATGCATACTGTGTCAATGAAAATGAGGTTAACTAAGTGTTGACAAGATAGAAAAACATGTAGCCTATTTATATCTTCTGCTTTAAACGGTCATGCTTCAAAGGCCTATAGCAGGACAGAACGGACTGCAGAGAAGTACACTCTTCCTTTAATACATGGTCAGATATCTTGTCGGCCAGCACCACATATGAGGAGAATGTCGAACGGGCCTTCTGTATCTAGGCTGAGATTTCATCACCAACCAAATCGTTTGGACTGATGCAACTCTCCAAGTAAGTGAAGTGGCTGACACATATAACCACTTCACTCTTTATCACGAAGCTGGGAGCACTTCCAATAGATCAGTCCTGGAGCATCATCTCAAATTTGACAGGTGCGAAAAGCAAGCTAAATATACTCAGATCTCAGCTCAACGCGTTCACAAGACCCTAAATTGCGTCAGCGTCTTCATCCAGGAGGACAATGTCATCTGCACACTTTAAGTCAACCAGATGACCTCCAGGAAGCAGGTCAGGCGTACCTAGGGTTATTTTCATTAGTATGCCTATGACAAAGTAAAATAGGAACGGCCAGTGGGCATCCCTGGCGAACATCAATTGTTAATGTCCCTTCACATGATAACTGTCCCTGGTCGTGATATGGCTGCGTGAGTTCGACCAGAGTGCTTTTATTAGCGCTACATACTTGCTCGGTGCTCGCTTCAAAGGCAGATAGTGTCACAACACCTCGCGATCGATAGAGTCGAATGCCACCTTTAGGTGAAGAAATATGGCAAGTATCAGCCGCCGGTAAGTATGCCTATGTTCCCAAAGCTGATGAGGAGTGAAAAGCTGATCGACACACCTTCGTCCAGATCTAATACCTGCTTAGCTTTCACAAGTTTGATGTTCTTGCACTTCAGTCAGTTGTTGGATAACTATGGACAGTAGTATATTAGATACGATGTTAGTCAAAGAGACCCCCTACAATTATCACAAGATTTCTCTTCCTTCTTATCTGCTGAAATGATCAGTGATGTAGACCGATCTGACGGGAGTACCTCTAATTCCCATGCATTATCTAGTACTTCTGTTACTCCACTCAGTAATTTTCGGTCATCATCCTTAAGAACTTACGTTGGGAAACCGTCATATCCAGCTGCTTCGCACTGTATCAGGTTCGAAACAGACTTCTCAACTTCGAGTACAGTTGGGGGACCGATATCTACTTTCCATTTGGATTCAAGCTGGATGCTGGGAAATAGAAGCGTTGCTGTGGAACAGTCGAATTATGCTTTAAAATGTTAGGCCTAACATTCTGGCTGCCTGTCACGAGAGGTTATCAGGGTCCCATCTTTTCCGGTGACCCGATAACCATTGTCCTTTTTCTTAACAGTATTCCTAAGAATCCTAAATTAGTGCCAAATATGACCTATTTTTGATGCATTCTTCAGCACTTTCGTTACCCACCACTGCTAACAGTCATGCCATCCCTGACTGTGGGATCGACACATAAACTAGGGTTGTACGTAACTACATAGTGCGGAAGCTTTGAAGTCAACATTCAGTTGCATTTAACATTTTAAATAATACGCTTATTGCTTTTCGCTTAAAAAAATATATAAGTTTGACTATTAACATTCTCTTCTGTCTACGTAGTAGCGTTAGATTAATTATTTTCCTTTGTAGACAAAATCTAGTTCCTCAAAGCTAGCTGAAACTGCATATCCAAACCAAAATACATCCATTGTTAAGATAAATTACATCCCTATGATATCAGGTAGAATACAGTACCTTTGGAAGATTAGTCTCTGGTGAACGTATATTTGAAAAATGTAAAAGGTACGGTTTGACATTATTACTTTTATGCTCCTTAACACGTATGATGCGGCTTTTGATGCGATGACCCTATGGAAAGAAGTGATGCGACTTGTTCCCGCACATCTTCTTGGCGCTAAGTATCAGTGCCAATATAAGGGGTGAAAAGGAAGATGTGCCCTTTTAAAAACCTAATTTTTTACCGATTCCCATTGGCCCACAAACTTTATAGTTGATGATTACCCTTCGTCAATTATCTCAAACCTAGCTTAAACTTCCCCGGCAAATATTACCCGGAGTTGTTCAGTCAGCTGAACGTGTACGCATTCCACTGACTTTACTCTTTAATATTCACAGCTGAACCCTTAAAACGGTAGGTAGCACACAGATGTCTTAAGTTCTTCATTACTACTTTGAAGATTTTATGCTTTATGTCGCCGATGATGTCATCATCGAAGGTGAACAGGACAGTTAGCTTCATAAATCCTATCGTTGCTGTTTGAATACTCTTCCCTACAGACCAGACTTTAAATCTATGGATACAGATGCCCTAACAAAAACTGATGCACCAATTGTCATAAACTTATCAACTTGATTGAAACTAGTTACAGTCTATCTGAGAAAACATATCGCACCAAATTCAGAGTTCAAAACGTTTAGTTGAGTATAAACGACGGCCAGCGATGGCAGTTGCCAATAGCATCCCTGGTGATACTGGTCTGGTTGTAGCATCCGTGAAAAGATTGAAAGTAGTTGCAATGAAACTGGTTAACGAATAATAAGGCATCAGCTCCTAGTCATGCAATTTCACATAACAACCCTTTTAATACATAGATGTATGTGAATTCAATCCCGGTGATATGAAAAGCATCTTGAATAGCATCTTGCGTTACATATTACAAAACGACTTCATTTACCAACTGTCCTCGGCTGCTACTAGAATGAAAACAAGAGTCGAAAATCAGCGTTTGGAATGACTGTTCGAAGTAATTTTTAACCAATGTCATAAAATTATATTCTTTAGGGACAACTCAGGAAATACGGAGAACACACAATGTAGGTTTAATGGAATTTGACAAGTATTGGAGATAAAGCCCGGGTCTCACTGAAAAGGTGAGAGAATAATACAAGATTGAAATGGTTCAAATGGTTGTTGACGGAATAGAAGAAGCTTTTGCTTAACTGGCTGCCACGTCTATAACCCGTGGATCACTACTAACTGTACAAAGAAAGAGGGAAAAGTGGCGGTTAAAATGAGACAATTCAATTAGTCCTAGGCAGACCCCAGCAATATGTCTAGTAGGTATCCAGTCAGCGTTTAAAGGATTTAGACGAAGTAGCCTGGATCATATCCTCAGAAAGAGCGTTCCAGGATTTAACAACTCTTAAGGAATAGAAGTTGTGCCTGATATCTGACCTGCTATGTTCCAGGCTTAGTTTCTGTGTGTCCTCTAAGATTAGAGCTACAGCTAAGATTTAATAAGTGACTGAGTGGGTGGCCAGGCGTGCTCAGAATGTTGTGAGTTATTATCAAGTCTCCTCTTAGCCTTCTGTATTCCAGAGGATACAGATCTAGCGCAACCAGTCGTTCTTCGTATGTTTTCGACCTAAGTCCTCGAACACAGTTTTTCGAACCCTTCTGGATGCATTCTAAGCTTAGTTTGTCGTTCTGGAGAAAGGGGGGGGAAGATGATCATCCAGAACTCCGGGTAAGGCCGTATGAAGCTGCTGAAAATTTGGTGGGAGCATCTACGATCGAACTGTCCGAAAATTCGTCTGAGTTACTAACGCTAAGTTTCCACCAAATGCATTTCTGTGGCAGTTGGGATAGGATTTTAGGTCTTCAGGAACTAAAACGCCCAAATCCTTCTCTGTCAGTGACGTTTCAAGTTCCATGTCATTGAGATACATCGTGTTTTACATGCATCATCTTGCATTTCTCAGCAGATGGCTTACTATAAATGACTCCCACTAAGCACTTTATAGTCTTGGACAGCTTTGTAGTGCACCACACGAACTTTTCGGGGCATTCCAGTTCTTGAATACAAATTTGTAGGCTGAGAGAGAGGATTGCATGGAAAAGTAAACTTCAAACAAACTCGAAGAAACACCTCTCAATGTAAGGAAGTAAAAGGACTATCAAGGGAGGTTTTCCTGAAAAATTTGGTGAAAAAAAGCAGTGGTGAGATTCTGATTGAGTTAAGAAAGGGACTTGTTGGATTTCTTAAACAATGTTAAAAAAACTTGATTTCTGTAATATACTTTTTACTAATGTGAAGTCTAGTTCCCTTTTTATCATCTGCAGCTAAGTGGATGAAAAGCGTATAGTTAACAGTAATACTAATCGTCAATGACACTCAGCAACGTGTTATCGACAGATATTGAAGGCAGTTTTGACTAGGACGTATGCGTACAAAGTATTACGTAGTACTTTGCTTATAAGCGGAAAATGCAGGGCGAACCGACAGATAATGATAGGCATTGAGACAAGAGAAAATTTTCAAAAAGTGGTGGAGTTAGCGAGTTAGATACGAGAGGTAAGTCAGTATTTTTTCTCATGAACTCTCGGTTAGCTTGACTGGAATGGAGGTCAGAGACATCTCTATTCATAGTAAAACAGGAAATATAACGTTTTGGGACTTTGGTGCATTCGCTATATAATTCATACACTATTTGAATTATATGATCTAGTATGCATACGCCGAATTCTCAAAGTGGACATCGAAGAATGGATCCATTCGTTATCATTTCTTCATTGTTTTCTGCTGCAGTCAATGTGATCCAAGGGCTGTTATGATAAAAATTACGGGAATTTGGAAATATTCGAAAAGCATAACATCAGAAGACGATGTATAACGAAAATACCTTACATTGCATTATAACGCAAACAATAGGATGACCAAATCTCCTCAAGGTCACTGAAGCTTTTCACTATCCAATATCTGTATAGCTAGCTTATGTAAACTAGTTGAAATCTTCGAGCTAGCCTCTTGATCTTTCAGAAAGTTTTCAGGCCTTAGGTGGATTTCGACGCAGTAGATGCAGCCACTTGTCTCCTATAACTGTGGTATACAGAACACAAGTTTGTGTTGGTTCAACGTCCAACATCAGTAGTGCGAGTAGAGGAAACTTGTAGTTTTTGAGCTTCCACTTCTGGGTCTTGAGGCTCGATTCTTTTTGTTTGGTTTCACTCCCTTGATAGCAGCAGAATTCTTCGCATCTTCCTGCTTATAGCTTTGGAGGCAGTAAATGTCTAGTTGAAGTTTTTTATTTGCAAATTGTAGCTTGGTTTGTTTTTGGGGGGTAACGGAGCTGCTGGTAAGACCAATCAACCGTTTGCAATTCCTCTTGTTGTATGCATCTGCACGTAAGCGTTAAACATTACTCAAAAATTAATAGAAGCAGGGTGAGTGGGGAATGAGAAAAAGAGGATTGAAAAGTACTTATGAAAAGATAAATGTAACTGGTAACAATATGGGGGAGAGATGCGTCCCGTTCCAGATACTAGGGTTGGAGAATAAAAGGGTAGAAGAGTGTATCATCAGTTTCCACTGACAAATGCTCGTGGTAAGCCATTTGGGCTCACATACTCATCCAGCAGTAGTTTGAAGGGGTTGACTGGTGTAGCTGTGGCCACTTCCTTCGGCAGAGCGTTCTACAAGGCGCATACTCTGTGGGAGAAGTTATATCTCACTCTCGCCCTCGCCATGTGGTACGGTATACGAGTGGGGTTCCCACGGTTTCGATTTTGGGCCGATAACGCTTTCCCATATGGGTGGTTCACTTGGTGAATGATCTTGTAGGTTGTTATCAGGTCACCTAGTTTCCTTCGATAGCTTAGTGTGAACAAGCTGAGTTGTCCAAGGCATTACACATATATTTTGCTTGTTAATTCGATGGCCGACTTTGTCGCTCTTCTCTGCACCTTCTAGAGAGTATTTGCGCCTCTCTGTCGCTGGGGGGGCTATCGTGTTGAACACATCTAGGTGTGGTCTAGCATAGGTTTTAACTACCATAAGAAACAATTCTGGGGTTGACGACCCAAGCTGGCTCCTTAGAAAGTGCATAATATCCTTCTCCTTTGCTGCCATTCCCTTATAAATGCATGTAGTATCCAGTGTGTCAGAAAAGTTCGGTCCCAGGTCCTTCTCTGTGAAAACCCTCGTGATTGCATACTTGTTAAGAGTGTAGGTGATTTTAATCGCCTCTGGCGTGCGAAGACTCATCACCTTGCATTTCTCTAGGTTAAAGCTCAGACCGTTTGCATCTGACCGGGACTGCAGCCGCAACAGGCCGTTTTGGATCATCTTAGGATCCTCTTCGTCACCTATCGTCCTCCATATTTTCATGCCGTCGGTGAATAGGGGGACAGATGGTGAGGTTTTGCTAGGGAGGTCATCTATGAATAGTAAAAACAACAGTGGCCCTGGGACCGCTCCTTGAGAAACTCCTGTTCTTGTATTTCTGCAGGTTGTTCGGTTTCCGTTTATTTAGAGCGAGATTCTCTGTCCTCTAGTTATGCTGTAAGCCATGCTAAGAGTGGTTCAGTGATACCCACTTTTGCAATTTTTTCTAGCATGGTGCAGTGTGAGACGCTATCGAGAGCTTCGGTTAATTCCAAGAAGATGATGTGAACTGGTTGTTTGTTGTCCCATCTAGTGAGTGGTCCAGTCATTAAAGGTGGTCATTAGGTTTGTAGCACATGACCGCCCAGTTCTGAGGCCACGCCGGTGGGATGAACGATGTTAGTCCCAAACAGCATGCGCAACTAGGCTTTCCTGTACCTTGAAAATCATGGAGAGTAGTGCTTTTGGTTTGTAGTTGCACGGAATTTTCGGTCTCCTCCTCCAAAGATCAGTGAAAGAGTGGCTCGTTTCCATTCCTTGGGGAGTTGGCTTACTTCCAACGAGTGCGTGAACAGGTTGCATGTAGGTATGCTTAGCACTTCGACCCAGTTGTGAAGGATCACTGGTCCTATGCTATCACTTTCCTATTCTCAGCTTTGAAGGTTTCGCAAACACTTGGTTTGACGAAATTTTCACGCTCATCAGCTTTGTCACTGTCCTGGGACTTCGTTACATTACTAGATGTTGACTGTGAATGTATTACTGGGTTGAGTAGCCATCAAATCGACTGCCCAACAGTTCCGCTATCTCACTGCTGTTCAAAGGTTCTCCGGCAGGCCCTGTGATCAGGTTAAAACCCTTATTCGTCGGTTTGCGTTGCGACATGTACCAATACAGACTTTTCGGACAAAAACTCAACTGTCTGGTCAGGATGCTTTGGTATGTATATCTGTCATTACGAATTCTTATATCACACGAGCTGCGTAAAGTCTTGTGGCCACTAAAATCTGATTCTTTGTATGATGTACGCCACCGATACCGTGCCTTCTTTTTCCTCCGTATTTACCTTTGGGTTGCGCGAGTTACCCAATGCTGTTTGAGAGGCTGCCGTCTGGTTAATTTTGGAACACTCTTATCAATAGCTCTCCAGATAATATCTTTAACTTGTATCCGGCGTTCGTCTTTCGATAGTGAGTGCCATTTTTGTAGCCGTGCAGCCTTCAGGAATTCTTTGTTCCTGAGATGATGGTCTCCGTCTCGGTAACAGCAAAACACTTCTGGCCCAACTATTGGTAGTATCTCCTTGGTTATCGGAGAGAACCTCACATATGAGTGGTCGCTTTCGCCTAGGGGTTTGGACACAGATATCATCATCCGTTAGATTGTAGTCGAGCGGCGAGCCTATTCCATCTGGTCCCCATCTGGTGTTTTCCCCAACCTTCTATAACAGTCCTGCTGCTATAAACGCATTTCGAAGTTTGTGTTTGAAAGATTTATCCCCACATCTTACTTTGAATCCCGGGTTGATTGCCGGTGTGTTGAAGTCTCCACCTTGTACTACATGGCCACAGGCTGCCAAGGTGGTTGTTAAAGTGGCGCTGAGCAACTGTGCCCTATGCTCTGTCGTGCTAAGGAGAGGCCCATTTACCACCCCTAACAGGTACTTGGTTTAGTTTATAACGAAATAGGACTGTAAGTCCCGTTTGTGACACTAACCACCCCCACTGCTCTTCATCACGGGGGTAATTATCACACTTTGTGGATCCGCCCGCCGTTTCTGGTGTTCCACTCACCGCCATGGTTGCAGCTTCATGGAGATCACTAAGTGGGAACGTTCTGTCAGCCTCTCTGGTGACCCAAGGTTTGTCTAGTTTCACCATTATGCGGCAAGAGGCCGCATTGTCTGGCCGGCGCGACAGCAGCAGCATGGTCTCCAGACGTTCCGCTATCATCTTGGCGCCTCATTTGGGGTGGGAGCCAATTTCTCCCCATCTCCAAGGGTGGTACTTTTGCACGCTTGTGGAACTTGACCAGTTTCTGAGGGAAGCTTATTGCAGTTCGTGCCATGTAACATGTTTGACTGCACCAGGTTGTCTAGCTTTCCGGTGGTGACAGCAGGCGATTTCTGACCCTCCGAGCATACACACCATATCCATTTTGGTGGGTGCTTCCTCACAAAGCCATAGTATTGATCCGGTAAACCATTATCACAGTTGTAGTGCACCCATCTAAGACAGATATTACACGCAAAAGCTTTTTCAGCCTCTGAAACCAATTCTTTGCAAACACCACAGCAGTCACAGGTCTGCTCTTCGGTGACGAGTGAGTGGTTTGCTTTCCGTAAGGTGGTGTCAGGCGTAGCACGTTTCCTACATCCTTTATTTCTCACCGACAAAATGTTTGGGGGCGTGCTACTGTCACCCCGACTACAGGGGTAAGCCGGCTATGCTCATCGTTTCCATGCAGACTAGATTCTGTCCGCCCGCAGACCTCGTTATACGATTAAGAGCTTGCGATCTGGTTTTTTGTAACATCGTAGTCACATGATTTGACGTACAAGCAATGTAAATGAATAGGCTGAAGGAAACACTCGTTGTAATAATAATAATAATAATCTTTTCCTGAATTTACAGGTGTATATCGTTTTTACAGGCACGGTTGTAACAGCTGGTGGTGGAAAATCTCTGGTAATATTTTCATAAAATTTTGTTTGCCATTTCCGTTTCAGCCCAGGCAGTGGAAATCCCCGGCCTGAAAGGGAGAAAATTTCACATCACCTACAAACGGTGCACTTTGAGTTAAATGCGAAATTTTGTTGTGCTTTTAGGTTATCTGGCAGAAATGAAGGTCGTGTCCAATGAATATATCAGAGTATCACTCAGAAAGGAGGGGAAGTAACTCAGCAACTTTTTTCTCAAAAAAGTAATGCTAGTCAAACTACTCAAGGGCTTCAGTTTGAAGGCATGTGACGTAACTTCTCGTCTCCCTCATGTTCAAAAAAATTTCGCTTCATTCTGTTGCATCTGGTTGCTATTTGCCTCCTGGAAAACGCTGAATCTCTTGAGGGTGTGCATATCTCTCTCTAGGTTCTGCAAATCTCAGACCACAGGCAACATAGAGAGGCGATGAACCTGTCTTCCAAACGTTGAAGTTAACCAGACCTATCTCGGCTCCAAGGTAGCAGAACGTTGGACAGTGTCACCCACTTATCGAAAAATACTTAAAAGCTAAAAAGGAAGGTTATTGCTACTGCCTAACTCATGACTCCGTCGAAGTAAACTGATATCTAATATCTGCAGTTATTCAACTATTTGCCTAACATGATAGCATCATTTATGTTTTTGAAACTTCTTGCCTACTTTGCTGAGGGTAAAACAAGTGTCGTAGCCTCCGCAGAAATAAGAGTAAGGGCGCAAAAAGGCTAAAACTAGTTGATCCATTGCCTAAGGTTAAAAGTTCCACCGGCGACTGCGGTCCGTCACTTAAGTTACCCAATCTTATGACTGATGTCTGCAGCGATGTCAGTAAAGTTAAGTCCGATATTCTGGAACTCTCGAAAGCAGTTGAGAATAAGCAGTATAAGATGGAATATCTCCTCTCTCTGATGGATTTGCCAGACCACAAAAGTGGCTCCTCACTTGGTAGTCTGATAAAATGCGAGAGATTAGTTGAC